TTGGTAAGTCATTTTTTGGGGTCTGGAATGCTCACTTTTCCACATAAATTAGTGGTAGCTGCTTATCTGCTTAACATCATTTTTGCTTAAGGTTTCATGGGAACACTCTACTTTCCAATAGTGAGGGAAACTTGAATACCTGGTGAGTTCAAGGATTGGCAAAGCAAATCTGGAACACAGACCCAGACTGTGGGCAGTCAATTTCCTCAAAGGGTAGTTCCCATCAGCAAGTATCCCTGATCCAGTTGGAGGTTGTAAGGGTGGTGAGATTGAGGCTAAGTGGAGTAACTCAGTTATGGGAGCGTGACTATAGGGTCAGTCCGACTAGATTTGAATCCCAGTTCTGTCACTTATAAGTTATGTAACTTTGGACAATGTTTTAAGCTTAGTTTCTTCCCTTAGCTGTTAAATGGACATAATAAAAGCACCTGTGTGTTCAAGTTATGAAGATTAAGTGAGACAATCCTTAAAATTAATCATTATCACCATCTTTTACTTCAAAGTAATTTTAAAAATTATATCAAATATAAGAAAAAAGTTAATTTAGTTGAGCTGTAAAACACAGACTTCTCTTCCAGATTACCAACTGTAAGCTGGCAGTCACACTACTGGGGAAATAAATTTTTTAAGGCTCTGAATTTGCCTTTTCCAGATGTTTTTAAAGTTATCTTCCTATATAAATTGTTTTTGCAGCATAATTGGTGGAATGAAGTCTCCCCTATCAATCCCTTATAAGATTCATATGACAAAAAGAAGGTACTGTTTAAGGTATTTTACAGCTTTCTGATTAATTTAAGTCCAAGTCAATTTCTTGAATATAAAGCCCACATATAAGTTCAGGGTGTTTTTCCTTAGGAAAGATCTTACGTTGCTGGTGCAGGAGGCAGGCCTGGCTTTTTGTTTCCTCAGATCACATGTTTTGCAGCTTTTCTACCTCACCACACAGTAGACCATGCCTATAAGTAATAACTTGAAATTCAAGGCTACCACAGTTAATGCAAACGGACAGAGTTTGATATTTCTAAGAGGTTCTTACTTTCCAAGTACTTCCTGAGTTGCGAGCCACATTTTCTGAAAGCACTTGACTTTATGATGGAGTCATGCTTATATAAATAAAACAAAGCACTTTAAAGCTTTTTTAGTTTTCAGAATTTTAAACCATAATAGGTAAAGAAGGTAAAATGATGAATGGCATTCCAAAATTGCATTGTGTCTGACACCTCCAGGAACTGTGTCAGACTCTGGGAATTTGTTACTTAGAATTAGTCCTTGCTCTTAAGAAAGTGTGAGTTTTAGGCCTCCCTGGTGGCACAAGGGGTTAAGCAGCACATTACGAAGCTGTCAGCAGCCTCTGCAGCACGAGTTCGATCCCCAGCTGGCCAGGGAGCTACCCACATGGCGCAGCAGACCTCTCCTGTCACGCTTGCTGCTCTACCCTCAGCAGTTTATTTCAGCCTGTCTGTCTGTTCTGTTCCCCACTCTGCCTGTGGTTAATCCTCTCACCCCCCAAATCTCTGGCCTGTACCCCAGCTCTTGTATGCATAAATAAATAAATCTTTCAAAAAAAGTGTGAGTTTTAGCTGAAGCAATATTTTCAAATGTTGACTTAAAAAACATACATTTGATCTTGATGCAATTCTAAAAAGCACCGTATTTTCCTTTTATATTCTTTTCTAAGAAATGTTGAGAGATGGGCAGTCTTCTGACATCCTTTAAACTCTGACTCACTCACTGGCATTGTGTGACATAGGACAAGGGCTCCAGAATAAGCTGTCCAAAATCTCTGAGCTCCAATCCTCCCCACCTGTAAAATCACAAGGATATTAAATGAGAACATGCACTTGGGTATATGGAAGGCAGTCATATCACTAGAATCATTAGACTCCATGTTGAATCTTTGCAATTACCAGGTGTTTCATTCATCCCCTGTGGATTATTGTGCCTCTGATACCAGCAAGGAGAATTTAAAATGTTTTAGCCAGGGTCGAATACATGCTTCATGTTTAATAATCTTATACAATGACCTGCAGATTCCATTCCCAGAAAACAGTCAGGCATTCTAAGGCCTGGCTATAGTGAAGATAGATATACTGAACAATTTTCAGCAGCCTGTCTCCTTAGGTGATTATAACTGAGGTACTGGGAGGATGGGCGGAGTGATATAGTTTAGGTCCCTCTAACAACCCTCAACCTAGCGTTGGCCCAGAACCAACTCCATTGAGGAAAGCCAGTTTTTTTTTCCATAAAGCTCTGAAATGTGCAGGCAGAAAGCCAGGATGTGGAGGGTCAGGAGGCAAGTCAGATCAGCAGAGCCAGTCCCTGCAATGGAGGGGTGACAGCTGCAGCACTGACCACCCCTTCGCTGTTTGCCGAGCAAGCAACTGAGACACAAACGGAAAAATACCTAAAGTCACCTACTGAGGGGAACTGCCTTATACCTCTTTGCAAAAGTTGGTGTGCATGTGCATTTCTCTGTGAAGAGAGGCTATAATTTTCACCATATCCCGGAAAAGTTCATGCTTGGGAAAAAAAGAGATTCGAAGATACAATCCAACGTCCTCGCTTCACAGATAAACTGAAGCCCGGAGAGGGAACAGCAGCTGCACTAAGAGGAGCAGGGGCATCACAAGCGAAGGCATTCCCGTTCCCATCCCGGCCCCCGACGCTGGCGCCCCGCGACCCCCGCTCACTCCTGGCGGCTGGTCCAGGGAGGTCCCGGGCGGCTGCGGCCGCGCGCTCAGACCCGGCTGCTTGTCGCGAAGATTCCGCACCCCGGCTTCACCCGCAGAGGCCCCTGTCTTGGTGGCTCGGGCTAGGGCGCCAGACTCAGGGCGACCTCGCTGCCGCGGAGGGGGAACAGCGTCGCTCGCGCACCTGCCCCCCGCTGGAAGCGGGCGCGCCCGGAGCCCGGGAGCGAACCCGCGGCGGGAGGAGGAGGGAACGGAGAGAATAACAGGAAGTGACGTCAGGCGCACGTGCTTCCGAGAGGGGCGGGTTCGTGCTGTTTGGGAGGCGCGGCAGCTGCCCCGCGCCTGCGCAGCCGCCGCCTGACGCGCCGCCGAGTCACTGGGGTGGGAGGAGCATGAGCAGGGGGCGGGGCGCGCGCCTGAGGGACGCAGGCGCAGTGCGACTCGGAGGCGCGGGCCGCCCCCTCCGCGGGTTTGGATCCGGGTCAGTCAGGCGCGGCGACCGGGGAGAGACGATCTGGACTGACGGGACTGGGTCCCCGGAGCGCCCCCGCCGCGAGGAGGTGAGTGTCCCGACGCCGCGGGGAGGGGCCGCGGGGCCGCGTCCTGGTGTCCGCCGCCCTGGCCGCGGGCGGCTTCCTGTGGGCCCGCCCGCCCCTCGCCGCGTCGGCCCCGGCGCTGGCTGCGGGGCTGGGCCGGGCTGGGCCTCTCCGCGCCCCTCGGCCGCCGCGGCCTGGCCCGCCGGGCTCGCGCCCGCCGCTTCCCGCCTTCCTGCCCGCCGCGGCCGCCGCCCGCTCCCGCCCGCCCCGCCCCCCGCCCGCTCCCCGCCCGCTCCCGCGCGGCGGCCGCTTCCCCTTTCGCCCTCCGCGGCCACCCTTTGCCCCTTCCCGCCCTTTCCTGCTCGCTCGGAGCCCCGGGCCCCGGCGGCCTCTGCGGCCCCGGCTGCAGCCCCGCCGGGCCGGGAGCGCCCCGAGGAGCGCCTTCTAGCCGGGGCCCCGGCGGGCGACGCGGGGCCTGGACAGCTCCCCGCTCCCCGAGGCCCCCGAACCCCGGTTCTGCTCCTGCGGACGAGCCGCGTTCCGGGGGCGGAGGACCGGCGGCTGCTCAGCCCTCGCCGCGAGAGGGGCGCGCGGAGGAGGGAGCCCCGTCCGGGGCCGGGGGTTGCAGCCGAGGCCGGGGTCCTCGTGCCCGGGGCCCCCGCTTCCTGGGGCTGGGCAGGGTCTGAGTCTTCAACATTGTGATGACACGCTGACGTGCGGGGCCTTTATTGATCATTTTCGGGTCTTTTCAGGGTCCTGCAAAGTTGGACCTCGGCTTGAGGTGAAAGAGTTTTTGGTTAAAACTGCAGGATATTAATGAGTGTGACACATGCCTCTCGTTGGTGGTCAGGGAAAACCAGAGACCGGCCCTTTTGATGGACAAATGAATAATTTCTCGTTTTTGAAAAGTTGGGGGAAATCCGGGCAACCTTAAATTGGCTCGTGATTGATCTTCAAGCAAAATAGCTTCAAATAGGTCTTTCAGAGCTTTGGTCTCTGTGGAGGTTGTTCTACCTCGATAAGTCAGTGCAGCTAAAACATCAAGAATCGCTCCCACAAATTTAATATTAATGCAGAAGGGCAAGCCAGTCCTTGGTTTCCTGAAGTTAGTTGTACAGCTCTTGATTTCAGTGAATGGGGATCTGGGACTACAGAGTGGCATAATAAGCCTCTGGTAATTACAAATAGGCTCCAATTTAGCTCTTCAGGCCATGCTTGAGACTCACCTTTGCTCTGAGTTAATGTAGCTCTGGAAGAACCTGAGTAATCAGAATGCAGAGTCTGAAAATAGTTTAGATGGAAGTTCATTTCTGAAGTTTCAGTCTGTAGCCAGTTTTTATTTTGGTCTGTTTGGGTTTTTAAATGATAGTTCTTTTCAGTTGACGAAAATATTAACCAAGTTTGTTTTAATGTCTAGAGTGATCCGGTCACCTGCAGTGCTATTAAGTTAGCACTGTGTAATTAAAAGTTCCATATCTGGGTGCAGAGCTTCTCAGCACAGTGTTAGGGCAGGGATGAGAGTTCAGTCCTTACAGCAGTGGGGTTCCCAGTCCCGGTATGCGTCAAGTTCATCCCTGTATCCCTAGCATCCTCCAGTCTAGTGCTAAAGCACATGGTGGGAACTCTGTAAATATTTGTGGAAGGAAGGAATTTCTGCCTATAATATTCAGCAGCATATATTTATATGTACTGATTTCCAGGGAAGCCTGAAGAGGGGTTGTATGCGGATTTTTTAACTCTGCGGATTTTTTAACTCTTAGAGTTAAAAAATCTTAGAGGTTTTAACTCTAAGAGCCAATAGTTACAGCATTTGACTGGTCATGAAGTTATTGAGGAAAAATACAGGTCAAACTTTAGTTCTGCCAGCAGGAAGAAGTTGTTTACAATCTGTGATAGCACCCTTATGGATGTAGTGGAGCTTCAAAAATATTAGACTATGTGATCTTAGCTTACCTCTCCCAGGTATATAAGGTATTACTGTGTATCCGGGGAAGATTGTTCTCTAAATCGAGAGACCCGTGAAGTATAGAATCGATAATGTTTCCTCAAGTTCATCTACTGGTTAAATAAATCAGCACAGTACATGTGGGGAGTGTACTTAAATTTTTTTTCTTAAAAACTTGAGGTAAAAGCTAACAATTCTTTGGAGACTATTTTCAAAGACATCTGCCTAAAATACTTTCTTCTACACATAAGTAAGTGAAACAAATGATTTGGATTCCTTGATTCTCTTTTCTGCTCCTGATACTACATATTATGACACCTTAACCTTTGGAATATTAGAGATCTCACAATAACATCAAACCCACCCCTGAGAAATGAGCAGATATGGAACCAGAGAGGGTCCAAGAGTCCATAGAGGCACTGCTCCCTTTGAGAGTGCCTGGGGGTGTAGGGTGGGGGGATGGGGCTAGGGGTAGCAAGTTAGAAATAAATTAAGGTGAATCCTTTGCTTCAAAAACTTGCCATTTTCTATTTGTTGTTTTACTTTTATTCTTTCTGACTGCCTGTGATAGGTTCATAGGTACTGGTTTATTTTTTTGTTCAAGATTTGGTATTTATTACCCTGAATGAAAAAATAATTGGGGGCATTAGATTCAAAGAATTTATTAACAAATTTTCATGCTGTGTTTCTTGTTGCTTTGGTCAGTCTCCCTCTATCCCTCCCCTCACCCCCTTTTTTTGTTTAAATATAAAAATTGGGGTGGAAGAAATGGAGAACTTTCATTAATCAAGAGTAAAATGATTAAGTGGAGATCATTTAAAGGCTTAACTATAGAAAAATAATTTGTATATTCTGCCTCTTTGGACTATTTATCTTTTTGAATTACGAGTGCAGTTCATTTATTTTTTTATTTAATAATTAAATTGTTTTGTTTAATAATTCTTCAAACCTATTAAATGAAAATAGATCAGCTTTATAGGTAACTTGTGGCATAATTTGTAATCTTTAAAACATGTTTGTAAACTTGTTCTCTGAAGCATGTCTTCTTGAATCTGATAACTGGGTCAGAATTGCTTTTTAAAGAAATGCTCTTATGTGTCATGAAGTTAAACTTAGCTGGAAATTTTAGGGTTAGACAGATCAGTAGCCTTTTAAAGAATCAGAATGCTGTATGTTATGCTTCCACCTCCCAACCCCTCTTTTTCTGATGGAAAGATCGTCTTGTCTGTTGGTCTCTAGACCTCTACAACTGGATAGGACCCTTCTCCCCCCTTGTTAAAAAGTATGCTTTAGTGTTGATTTTAGGTCATCTAGTTTCCCACTGTGTAATCATATTGGCATCCAATTTTTGTACAGCTTAAATTCTACTATAGCAAATACACATTTTTTTTTTTTTTTGGTATCATTTGTCTCCTTTTAAGAAATAAAAACCTACAGTCTCCTAATCATCAGCACGGAAACTTCCTTTTAGAAAAGAAATTTGCTTTTTTGCTTTCTCCTCCCACTCCCCAACAAGCAGAAACAGAATTAGGAATATAGAGTTCGACAGCAGGTATACTTTTGGTAAACCTACCTGTTTTCACTTTCCTCATTTTATTTTTATTTTATTTTTCAGTATTAACGGGAACATCTATAGTAGTGTGTAAAAGCTTTCACAATGAAATCCGAAGCCAAGGATGGGGAAGAGGAGAGTCTACAAACTGCTTTCAAGAAATTAAGAGTAGATGCATCAGGGTAATAAATATGTAATACTGTATTTGGAAATTGCTTACCTGATTTAAATAGCCTTTCCTCTGACGAGCTCTTTGTCTTCTGAAATCACTTATTATTCTTAGAACATTTTAATGCTAATAGTATGACATCCTGCTAGATTTGGTATAGCATTGTTTTTACTTATAAAAGAAATGCTTCTGTTAAATTTTGAAAATAGCACTAATTTGTACTCCAAGGTTGGGTGTTTTGGTTTTCCTTCACCACCCCCCTCTTTTTAATCAAACATTATCAAGCAGTGTCCCATCAGGGATTCCCTACACATCTTTAGGGAATCATAGTATTTTTCACTAAAAGTGAATTGGCTCAATAGAAATCTGTGCAGACATTGTCGATTTCATGGGCTCTGATTGCTGAGCTTATCACTATGGAAACCTCTATTCATTAGGATTCTGTTACTGAGATCAATAATCTTGGACCCTTTGGCCAAACTAATTAGAGCACCTGCAGACCAGCTGCTGTCTCAATGTTAATATTTTACCCTTTGTAAAATGTTGTGTGCAGAATTCTGCTCATCACTATTCTTTACCCCAAACCAGAAGAAATCTCACGTTTTTAATGGATACAAGTATAACTCTTTTCCTGAATGAAAAATAAACACGGGAAGCTCAGAGTAGAACACTCCATACCAAGGAATAATAATCCTTAAAATGAATTACTTGCTTACCATTCCTTAGACTGTGACTTATGTGCGCCCTATACATTGTTTAATCCTCACTACTAACTTTGAAGGTATGCGCCACTGTTATTCCAGCTTTCAGGTGAGCCCTAGATGAATTAAGTCACTTGCTAAACATCACATTGATCAGAAGTGGGAGAGCTGGGATTCAATCCCAGACAATTTGTCTCTAGAACTGGTGCTCTTAACTATTCCTTTATGTGGCACTTTGAAGACAACATGAAGAAATGCATACACACCTGGCATACCAGGTAGTGAAAACTAAATGGATGTTAGTTGTTTTTATAGCTGTCTGCTGATCTAGTACTATTCTGGCCAGAGGTATTATCCTAACAGGTTCACACAGTCACTCTAATAGGTGCTCACATTTGCTTCCATGACACTTCAAATAAGTTTCTTTTTCCTCTCAGTGGTTTTTCTTACATGGTCAGCTCATTTTGAAATTGATCAGTGCTTTATAAGCCATTTGGGAAACGGAAACACATTGGCCCAGATTGTGGTCATAGGATATTCCTTCGTGATTTCTGGTGTAGAAATAAAATTCTTTAAAATTGGAATGTGTACACACACATAAATCCTACCGTGTATGAATTCATATAAATAACTCTTGATTTACAGATGTTTTTCCTGGTGTTTTAGAAGTTGGAACATAAAATTAAGCCATTTCAGTACCTCTTAGGATGACTTGGAACATTAAAAAAACTTTCAAAATATCTATAATATGTGGTTGAATACAGTGTAATTGTGGCATATGATATGTCTTAAGTAAAATTATAGAAAAAGAAGAGGTAGTGGAGAACATTTGTGAAAACCAAATGTAAGAAGAAGATGTGAGTCATTAGCATGACTAAGGGAAAAAAGACTTGTGTGTGGTGTCTCATATATTTCTGGTTGTTTCATATTGTTGCTGATTTACAAATGGGACATCTGAGGTACTGACTCATAAACTAAACAAGCCTTGCTAGGAATTTAGTATGATCCTGTTCAACAGGTTTTGATTCATAATGGTATTTGTCTTATCAGGATAAATCTCTATATTTATATAAAACATATAATCTTTTTTTATCTGACTAAAAAGTAATACATGCTTGCCACAGAAGAATTCACAGAAACAGAAAGTAAAAATCAGTTTTTAACCATAACCACTGGCTGGTAATTACTGACATTCTTCACATAGCACCATATTCTTTATATAATTGAAAAATAATGTGTATAGACATGTATATCCCTACTGCCATGCCACTAAAAGTTCTTTATACACTAATTTTTAATAATTTCCTACCATTGCGTTGTATGGCCATAATTTATATAATACAGTATTTCTATTATTAGACACTTAGTTTATTCCCAGTTACCTTTTACTTTAATACCTTTTTACGTTAGATTAATGTCTGTAAAGGATTTTTTTCAATAGCACAGCATGAGTAATAGTGTGTGTATGTGTATTGAAAAGGCCTGGAGAGATTTATCCCAAAGTGTTAATGTTGGTAATCTCTGGGTTGTGAGATTATAGATAATTCTTTTTCTCCTGCCTTTGAAAATTTTCTTCACAGGGAACTCGTGTAATTTTAAACTGCAAGGATTTAATTCTGAGTAATATTTCAAGTTTATTACTTGTGAAAATTATTTTCCCAACAGTTGCATAATATTTGAAAATACTCATTTTCAAGTTAGATTGATTCTCCTAAAGTTTTTTTTGCGCCTGAACTTAGCTCCCATGGCTCTGATTTGCTCACATAAAGTAAGTGGTCAGTGTCATTAGCATTCTTCCTGGACATGAGGCCTGATCTGCCCCAGATAAACAGCCTAAAGGTCTATTTATAGCCTGCTGCTGGTTATTCTTAAGAATCACTCTTTGACTTATAAAACTGTGGGCTTCTTGGGATCCTCTAAATTTTATTTTGGAGGAAAATTTATACCAAAGCTGAGCAATTTTTGAGAAACCCAACTAGAAAGAAAACTGAAGTATTCATATAAGTTGTATTTCAGCTGGTGAGAGCAGTAAGTTCTCCTTTCACAGTTTCCTGTAACTGTAAACTTTGCTCGTCTTCAGGTCCATAGTGTCTCTGTCTGTGGGAGAAGGCACCAGCGTCAGAGCATCGGTCAGAACAGCAGCAGATGATAGCAAGCCTAAAACTGCGTGTGCATCTAAAGACAGTTGGCATGGGTAAGCGCTTCTTATTGCAGATGGTTTTTATCTCAATACCTTAAAATATTACTGACTTTTCTCTCCTGAGTATCCATCCAGGAAAGAATGTGTTAGGTATAGAACCTAAGACCCCCAAATTAGAGAAGACCTATGCTCCTCAAGTGTGAATTTGCCCAGACTTGCTGTGTGGCCTGGCCCATAGTCATTTTTCATGAATGTTCTGCATATGTTTGAGAAGAACAAATCATCTCTACTCACCCCTGGGTTCTATATAAGTCCACTAAATAAAACTTTTAAATGGTATTTGAATCTTTTTCACAAAAAATTTTTGTCAGCTTGACTTATCAGTAATTGACAGTGGTATGTTGAAATTGCCCCGGTGGGAATAAATTTGTGTATTTTCCCCTTACCTTCTATATTTTTGCATTTTGAAGCTATTTTATTAGGTTCAAACAGTCTCGGTTCATAGCCGTTTAGACTGTTTTCTTAAGACTATACTTTCAGGGATCATTTTAATAGCTCGTTTCTAGAATGTTTTCTTCCTAGTAATTTGAGATTTTTATTATATAGTGACATTCTTTATCCCGCAAATGGCTTTTGTCTTCAAATCTATTTTATCTGGGCTTAATACCGCTAATCCAATTGTCTTTGTTTAGTATTTGCCTGGTGTGTAGTTTTCTATTTTACTTTCAAACATTCTGTCTTTAAAATTTTTAGGTCTGTCTCATATAAAAATACCTATGGCTAGGTATAGTTTTGTTTTATCTAACCTAATAGATTTTTTTAACTCCTAAATTTAGTTATTTACATTTGTTTTGATTATTGATACATTTGGACTTGTTTCTGTTGTTTCACCTTTATGCTATCTTGTCTTGCTGTTTTCTGTTTTGCTTTTCCCTCTCTTTCCACTTTCTCTCCCACCTTTAAAACACTGTTTGAAATGGGTCTGTTTGCTTTTCCCCCCACTAGTTTTCCTTCTGCTGGCTTGGGGATGGCGTACCTTATTTCTGTTCTTTCAGTAGTTAGCCTTGCAGTTCTTGCATACATGCTTAATAAAGACAAAATATCTTAACCCTCTTCCTTAGAAATCCTTTTATTATGACTTCCTGACTTCTTTGGTTTAGTTGCCCAGTATTTTAGTTCTATTCCTACTTTTTAATCTCACAAATTAGGTTTTACTTAACCTATTTTATTACCACTTCAATAGGTTATTTAGGTTGATCTCATAATTTTTTTGCTCATCATTCTTGCATGTCAGGCCTTATGTATAGGATCACTTTCTTCTGAAAGCACTTCCTTCAGGAATTCCTTCAGGTCTGTAACTTGTAAATTGGGCCTCTGCATTATGCAATAACTTCACATAGAATAAATTTGAATGGTGCCATCTGGATTTGTATAGCCTGTCCTGTTGGTAAAGATACTTTGCCCTATCTGAAAATGTCCATTTCATTTTTGTTCTTGACAGACATACCTAATTTAATATGTTCGCAGCCACAGTTCTAGGTTGAAAGTTAAATTCTCTTAACACTTGAAGGTATTCATTGTTTTCTGGTTTCATTGTTGGTATTGAAAAGCCTATTTTCAATCTGATTGTTGTTTTGGAAATGATCTGTCTAGTCTCTGACTGCTTTTAAGATGCTCCTATTTTTGGTATTTTACAGTTTGCCTGCAGTGAGTTTAGAAGTGGATTTCTTATTTGTCCTGCTTCAGTGCCCTATATCTGTAGATCTCTCCTTTCATCAATGCAGAAAATTTCTTACCCATTATCTCCTCAAAAGTCACTTGTCGTCCGTTCTCTGTGCTCTTTCTCTTAGAGACTCCAGACTTCCCATTCTGTCTTACAGGCCTCTCCTACTGCCTTCTAGGTCAGGGCTTGGCAAACTTATTCTGTAAAAGGGCCAAATAGTAAATATTTTAGGCTTTGGAGGCCAAGAGGCAAGATCTAAGGATATCGTGTATGTGCTGCTGTCAGGGAGAAAACTCCTGCCCTGCCCTGCGTGCCTGGTCATGGTGGGTGGGCACGCTGTGTTCAGTGACTGACAGTGTCAGGATGAAATGTCTGGCCTGGCAGGGTGGATGGGTGAGGGCCGTGGCAGGGTCACTTTTTGTCTCAGTGTCGCCCAGATTCTGTCCTGGCTCTCAACTGAGGTTCTCCTATCAGTGCCCCGCGCTTGCCCCCAGCAGAGCCCCAGTGTGTAGATAGATGGTAGCCTGCATGAGCCCTGGACAGTGGTGTGGTGCACCTGCTGGCAGTGTGGAGGGGAAAATGGGTGAAGGGGTCACCCTCGCCTGGTGTCTGTGGCTCATGGACGAAAGCAGATAGTGGACTGATATGACCTGTAGACTGCAGTTTACTGACTTCTGAGTAATTCAGATTTATCTTCCAGTTCAGTAACTCTCCCTTAGTTTTATGTGCTCTGCTGTTTAGCCCATCTGTGTTTCATGTGTAAAGCTTTATTTCTTAAAGTTATATTTTCACATTTGCTTGGCAGTTTTGAGTGTCTTTTTTCTTTGTTTAGTTCTTTAAATATTTTACAAAAGGTTATATAGTGTGTCTGATAATTCCCAATACCTGAGAACTTCAGGGAGTGTAAATCTGTGTGTCAGCTGTTACCAGTGATAGAAATGACCCCTGATCTGCTGCCCTGGGCAGTGATCATGGCATTAGCCTCACAGTGATATGGTCATGGTATTCAGGACCTAGGGCGCAGTGCTTAGGTTTTGTACATCAGTTTAAATCATCAGTGCAGGGTGCTTCCTCCAGATCCACAAGCCAGAGGCTCCCAAACCACAGCTCGGAACAGTAGATACTCTGCCTGGCCCACGTGATTCAGTTAAAAATTACCCGTTAGCTTACCTGTGTATGTAGCTACTTAATAAAGAGATGTTGAAGTTTTTGATACATAGAGACTTAGTAGGTAGCTTGAAAATGGGGGCAAACGCAGATAAGGTTTAGATTCAATGTGAATATACAAGCTGTCCTGCCTTGTGTAGTTTGTCACTTCAGAGCCAGTAAATCTGAAGGTGGTCCACTTTCATGGAGAATCGGTTCAGGAGAGTTCTGTACCCCAACATCTTGTGTTTTTTTTCCTTAGGTCTACAAGAAAGTCTTCCCGAGGAGCAGTAAGAACCCAGCGCCGTCGACGTTCTAAGTCTCCTGTCCTTCATCCTCCAAAGTTTATACATTGCAGTACAATAGCTTCTTCTTCCAGCAACCAGCTCAAGCACAAAAGCCAGACTGACTCCCCTGATGGCAGCAGTGGGCTGGGAATTTCAACCCCTAAAGAGTTCCATGCAGGAGAATGCTCTGCTTCTCTCGATACTAATCACACAGGGGCGGTTGTTGAGCCTTTGCGAACTTCGGTTCCGAGGCTTCCATCAGAGAGTAAGAAGGAAGACTCCCCTGATGCTACCCAAGCCTCCCAAGCAAGTCTCAAGGCCAATGATCTCTCTGACTTTCAATCCGTTTCCCAGCTAAACCAGGGCAAGCCATGTGCATGCATAGGCAAGGAGTGCCAATGTAAGAGATGGCACGATATGGAAGTGTATTCCTTTTCAGGCCTGCAGAACGTGCCTCCATTGGCCCCAGAGCGAAGATCCACGCTTGAGGACTACTCTCAGTCGCTCCATACGAGAATTCTGTCTGGCTCCCCTCGCTCCTGTTCTGAGCAAGCGCGAGTCTATGTGGATGATGTGACCATTGAGGACCTGTCAGGCTACATGGAATATTATTTGTATATTCCCAAGAAAATGTCCCACATGGCAGAAATGATGTACACCTGATAGCAGGAAGCTAACTAATATGCTTTAAACCAATGAAGGGTTGTCAGAGAGATGTAGTTAATAATGGCAGACCTGCGGCCACTTTGCGTGAGAAGACATCTCCTCCTGCTCACTGTGCTTGCAATAAAAACTTTTCTTGGCATCTCAGTTAATCTCCATTCTTTAAACTTACTCTCTGAGTTCTTATATACCCATCAAGGCAAGCAGATCAAAGAGAAGTCCCTCTCATTTACTAATGTTTCGAGGGGTGAAGAAACGATAAACTTGTTGACTGGTAGCAGTGGGTATTTGGTAAAGCCTTTGTAAAAACAGTGCATTTTTCAGATGTGCTTAAGATTTGGTGGCCAAGGAAAATGCAATGTGGTTTTGTGACTGGACTGAACATTTGTCATGCTGTAGTGGCCAGCCCAGAATATTAGAAGTGACATGACTGATTTAAGCCATCTCTGATTTAACGCAAGATTTATTGTGTCTTTAAAGGTTTCTTACGTTATTGTTAAGCCAGAGATCTAAGGTTTAGATTCAATATGAATAAAAACTAGCTGGCCTGCCCTGTATTGTTTGAGAGACTCATTAACCATCACTAAATAAACCCCTGCTGGTGCTGTTCACCCTGAGGCGTGTCACGTGAAGTTTCTCCTTTAAGAAACCACTGGCTGGGGGCTGCTTCAGTTGGAGGGAGGGGGTGTGCTATTTGGTAATGACCTCCATCTCTGGCACTCGAATACTGTCAGCATGTTTTTGGCAATTATAATGTGGACCTTGTGCCTCAGTTTCACGTGTTCTGGATAGATATCTCCTTGGATGACCCTCCTAGCCCAGCACCTCCACAGGGGTTTTATAGATGCTGTATTCAGTATTTCTGATCATCCAGCCCCAAAGCCCCCAATTTCAGCTGGAGAAGGAGTTCTTGTCTTGTTTACGTGACTCCAAAGTGGATTTTGCAGATGTCAAATAACTTGCATTTTAATTCAGACCATCTTAAGCATACCCACCAAATGGGGTGATATCTGTGCAGCTATTTTAACAATGTTAACAAAGTTTGTTTTATTTAGATAATAAACTCAGTTGTTACTCTGAGTAAACACCCCACAAACATTAAAGTTTATTCTTAACGGTGGGACCTGGGCTTCACCAGAGTCATGTGTACCTGGAGAGTTGGGAAGGACATTTACTAGAAAATCTGGACTTGTGAGAGACCCCTGCTAGTTACTAGCTTAGTATGGATCCAGTAACATGTGAAGGCTGCCGTGAGCAGGAGAACAAAATGCGCTGTCATCGCACCAGAAACAGTGATGGAGGCTGCTGACTACCAGGAACAGAAGGCCCAGGATTCATCTAAGGCTTGGGCTCAGAAGCGCTGTCTCAGGACGCGGCGAGACTCTGCTACACTTCACACTTGTGGATCCCAAAGAGCCTTTGTTTATGTGGGCTTTATTTATCACGTTAGAAACTAAAGCTAGGAAGCTTTGAAACTAGGTATTCATTTTTTAAAAACCTACTGCCTGTTAACATTTCCAGTTGAAAAATTATAATATTAAGGAGAAAAGTGGCATTGCTTTAACATTTTTGCAAATCTAATGTTTGGCTTAATAGAACACAGATTCTGGTGGCAGCTGCTGCATTCAACTTAGGATGTTGCCTGTCATGTGGCCTCTGGAAAACTAATGAGAATGAGCATGAAAGCAATGTTACTATGATGAAAATGTTCTCACCGCGCTATGTTGAAAGATCGGCTTGAGATCATTTGGAGAACCACTAATCTGGGCTATTTGAGAGCTTCTGGGTATAAAGTACCAATGAGCCCACTTTCACCTCTGATGAGAGTAATGGAATAAATTGGGTTTAACATGTTACATGAATTAAGGTAGTTCCCAAGTCTCTTAAGTCCTTTTTAGTTTGCTTTCAAACCAGTGGTCTGGTTATTTAGTCAATTCTGTCTACCAACTAGACAGTCACCAGAGAAGGAAAAATGATGCCTGTTGTTCTTGCAAGGCTGTCAGGAAGGGAGTCAAGGTGGAAAAGACAGAGTTCCAATGGTTGGGTAACCTGCTGGAGTCCAAACTCAGATGAGCGCTTAGCCATGCCAGGTTCCTGGAAATCAGCTGTAAGTAATCACATCTCAGTGGAAAACTTCCTCAGAACACAAAGCTGGAGCTAACAATGGCAGCTCATCCCACTTAGGCCAAGTGTAATAAGGGCATCTCATCTGGACATTGACCTTTTTGCCAGTGCAACTTACTGAACCAATCAATACATCCTGGAAAATGGATTCAGATTATAGATTGCAGGAGGGTGTTTTACTCTGATGTTTTGAAAAGCACCATCCTGACGTGCCTTCAGTAACTAACCATTGAACATTTATTCAACAAATATATATCAGAGGCCTACAACACACCAGCTGTACTCTACTGGGTGCTGGGAATAGAACACCTTTCTGTCCTCAATGGAGTAAGTGCTGTGAAGAGGGTTAGGAGACAGGGCTGGCACAAGGGGAGGTTTGCTATCTTACTGGGGTGGTCAGAGAAGTTTCTGAAGAGATGGTGATGTGAGCAGAGTCCTGAGGAAAGGGAGGGAGTGAGCCATGTGGATTTTGGGGGTGAAGAGCATTCCCTTGTTCAAAAGAAAAAAAAAAAAAGGATATTGGTGTGGTTGAAGTGGGTGAGGTCACAGCACAGGCAGAGCTGCCCAGATTGTGGAGCACCTTGAAGAAGGAGCCATTGGAGAGGAATTGGGATGGATTATAAGTCTCGTCTTTTAAAAAGAGTACTGGCTACAGTGTGCAGACTAATTGGGGAGCGGGGGAAGGGGATGCACAAGGGTGGTTAGGAGGCTACCGCAGTAAACTAGGCCATGGTTTCTGGTGGCTGAGATGCCGGGCAGTGCTGCAGTGATGGATTCTGGAATTATTATTTTTTTTTTTATAATTTTTTTTTTATAGAGGCATGTTTTTTTATTTATTTTATTATTTGTTTTGTTTTGTTTGTTTGTTTGTTTATACAAGCACTGGGTACAGTCAGAAGCGCGGGAGGGTGAGAGAATTCACCAGAGCCAGAGCGGGGAGCAGAGCAGGCAGAAGGACCGAGGTACACTGCTGAGGGGAGCAGCGGGCGGCAGGAGAGGTCTGCGCGCCATGTGGGACCCTCCTCTGGTGGCCGGGGAGCAGCCGGGGATCGAACCGGCACCGCAGAGGCTGCGGGCAGCTTTGCAACCCAGCGCTCAACCGCTGCACCACCGGGGAGGCCCGATTCTGGAATTATTTTTAAAGTTGAGCCTGAAGGGGTTTGTTACAGGATTGGATATGGGGTGTTAGATTTAAGGGTGACTGCAAAGATTTAAATGATCTGGGATTTGACTGAAGGAACAGATCTGAGAAAGGAAATTGGGAGTTTGGTTTTTCTTCTTGTCCCATGCAAGATGCCTCGGTCTCACCTAGAGAAGCTGAGTTAGTGATGGGAGATGTGACTCGAGATTGGGAGAGAGATAATGGGCTTCGAAGCCATCAGTATGGATGTTAGCTGACTCAGTTGTGATGAAAGAAAATCACCTAGGAAGTGATAATCTGTCACACAACAGATTATCCGGGAGTCCTCAACTCCCAATGTCAGGGGCATGTCCTACTCAGCAAAAGACTGAGTAGGAGAAGCCAGTGATGCTGCTCCAGGGGTTCTCTGACAGGAGTTCTAGGATTCAGGTGCAAAAGCAGTTCAAGAAGGGAGCTGTCCGCTCCCAGATACTGCTGAGAAGGAAAGATGAGGAGCACCCACTATGTGCAGCCACTGGGCATACAAGGGGAGGTCAGCCTAAGTGCCATCACTTAGTAGGTGTTCATGCATTTTCAGAGAATGAAGGTAATCCTTGCTTCAAAAAAGTTTGGAGGAGAAGCCAATGTGTGGGACCCACCCACAGCCTGGAAACTTGTCTGGAGAGACCAGCCTTCAGCCGAGTCCTCAATGACAGAGGAAAACTCAAGTGGATTTCAGTGTGCAGTGCTTTCTGTTCTGGATTTTCAGTTCCCTCCCCTCCAGACTCTCCGAGAAGCCGTGATGCTTGAGAAATTTCTAAGAAGAAAATAGAACAAGTACTGCCTCCACTCCCCGCCAACCTCCCCACTAAATAACAAAGACCCCTGGAGCGAGAAGAGACCCGGGGAAAGAATGGGACAGCCACCTTCAAAGCCGTTTGCAAGTCCATTCCAAGTCCAGTGAATGCCCTTCCCTCAGAACTTGGTTCCTAAAGAAAATCCGCTGTGGTGCACAGCGGGCCACAAGAGGTCTCCCTTTCCCTTAAAGGGAAGGCAAAAGCCAGAGCTCATGAAAAATCTCAGGTAAGGTCAGTGCCACGTCTGGCAAAGTCTTTTCTCGCACCTTTAAGGAATCAACGTGTCCTTTTATTGACAAGATAGATCAGCAGTTTCAAGCATGAGGCTAATGTTTAAAACCAGAGGGTAATGTTGAGTAAACACTTGCTGGGAGGAAACGAGCGCTGCAGTGTCGAGATTTAGGGGAGATAGACAGACTTGGGGTGATACGCTCCTCACTCTTTGGTAACTCTTATTAAGCATAATGGATTGAAAAAAATACTTATGTGAGTAAAATATTAATAGTATTAATATTTGTAAACATTTGTTTTAAACATTTGTTTTAAGTATTTGTTAAATGTTTAGTGTGTCCTAAGTTGCAGTATTAACTCATGTCATCCTCAGCCAGTGGTGTAAGGTAGATACTGAGATCTTTAATAGTAATGAGGTCTGGAGACAGCCACTTTCACAGATGGAGAATTTGTGATTTAGAGGAGTTAACAATTGGTCCAAGCCACACAGAACTGGGTAGAATTGCAGTTTGGATACATTTCTCACTCCACAACTCCCTACCCTCCGTAGTAGCCTATGGTAAATAAATGGACTCATTAATTTGGAAATGCTATTAAGAATCAGTTTCTTAATTTGAAGACAGACAGTTCTTACTCAGGGATGAAAGTTGGATTTGTCTGAGACACTTTTAAAAAGAATACAATTGAGCAAATCTTCTGGAACCTTCTGATTCCATGGTGGAAGCAGGAGGGTCGCTAGAATCGGTTGGTGTTTGTTAAGTTCTAAATGCATCTTATGTGCACCCCGCCCCCCACCTTGGTAGGGCCACCACAGGGAGCCATGCAGATGAACAGAGGCTAAATGTGCACAGGCAGAACAGCTCCCTGGAGCCTAGACGTATGAACGAGATTGATTTGCCTGGTGTTAGTGCGAACGGTACTGAACTTGGGCGACTTAAGCTCCTCCAGCTTCCTGTGTGAGATGCTCTTTCCTCTCCCCTGGAGAACAGAGCTGGGAAGAAACTGCTGAGTCTCCAAAGACCTTGGTGAGACCTGGCAAAAGCAGAAGTGGGGGTGGGAGCCGAGGGGGGACCATTGAGGTGTCCTTAGAAATGAACAGCGAAGCAGGCAGGCTGTCAGCCTGGCTGGTGGTGGCGGGAAACCCCGGAGGATACAGTCTTTACCCACTGGTTGTGCCTGTCCGCCTCGCAGACAGCCAGTGACAGTGAGCGACCGTGAGCTGAGAGGCTGCGTAGTGGCTGGTGGAGGCACGTGGCCCCAGAAGGAGCCCTAGAAGGTGGGGGGCTGTGAACGACAAGGAGCAGACTAGTAAGAACCGGGAATCAGTGGGAAGAAGTGAGAGAACATTTTCTATCGGGTTCTGAAGCAAGAACGAAACTTCTGCAGTGACAGTGGCCTGTGACAGCCACCCTGGACATCAGGGTCTCCCTGAGGATCCTCAAGGCAGATAATAGTGGAATGTTCTCAAGTGCTTCCACTTGCTTTTCAGTGTTTCTACCCTACTTCCTATCCTCCCCTTCTCTCTCTCTCTCTCTCTCTCTCTCTCTCTCTCTTTCTCTCACACACACACACACACACACACACACACACACACACAGAGCTTCCTCTTCTTGCTGGCCCCACCCTTCCCAGGATCTCTCTATACTCTGTGCTCTGTACTCCTGTGCCCAGGCTGGCTGGGTAGGGGTTTCCAGTCCTTAGCCCAGGCCACAGCTTCCTGTCAGGGAGATTTCTCTGTCCCTTTACTGGAGTTGGTGGGAATCCCCAGTCCCTTCACTCCCGACGCTGCCCCAAGCGCTGTCTGAAGTGTGGCCTCGTAGGACAGCAGCACGAGGGAGCTCGGAGAGGCCACAATACCTGTGGGTATTGCTGAGAAGACCTCATTCCCCCTCCCGCCCCAGCGCAGCCCCGAGGCTCAGAGACAGAGACAGGGCAGGCTCCCGCCCTGCAGCGGCAAAGGGAGCCGATCTGTCTGTGCCGGTCGTGGTGGTTCTCCGGGGCTGCCCCAGGATGCAGGGACTTAGGGGGTGTGCTTGGGCACTGGGCTCAGGCGTCTCCGCTTCCCAGACCCGCCCCCCTCATCTTCTCACTTCCCTCCTCTGCTTTCAAAAGCCGATGTCAACCCTGCCCGTTCCTTTCTCTTTAGGTCACCAGATTCCTTTATGGGGTTGGCAGTGCCCTGTGGCCCCAGGTCCTGTCAGGGCATGTGCGGTGGGGGCGCTGAGCTTGGCCAGCCTCTGCGCTCCGGGAGATTGTAAGTGTCCCGGCACGGGGTGTTCCCTGTCCCTCCGCTCCCCTGCTGCCCCTGATTACCCTGGCGGCTTCCTTCCCCTGAGACCCAGGGTACCCTGAGGGTGGAAGGCAGGCTTCCCCCGGGCAAGAGGAGCCCCCGAATGGCCCAGCAGCCTGCTCCGTCTCAGCCTCCGGTCCTCCTCCTCCGGCCACTCCCTGGGGCTGGAAACACCCCTCCTGCTTGGAAGGAGGCTGGGCGGCCGGGGGGTTATTTTGGGAGCAGCCTCCGAGATCCAATGGCCTTGTTAGGGCAACACTGACCTTTCCGTCTGGGAGGAGGGCAGGACTGGAGAGGGGGCGGGCAGCAGGGAGAGCGACAGCCCGCACACCCACCGGGGCAGCCGAGGAGGAAGCCCGCCTGGGAGGGGGCTGGCACCCCAGGGAAGTCTCCCCTCTTTGAAACAGACTGGGGATCCTCCACCCCCACCCTTCCCTGGGCTTCTTAAAGGGATCACACCGTCTTTCCCTTGGACTCCGTGGGAGCCAGCCCCGGGACACCGTGGACACTTTGAATCTTCGCCTCCCGCCTGCCTCCTCCCCGCTGGCCGGCGCCCCTGGCCGGCGCGGGCCTCCCAGGCATGGCACTGACCAGCCGCCCCGGTGCTGACCTGGCTCCTGGGCTTTGCCCGCCTCCTGTGGCATCTTGCTTTCCCAGTCCTGGGGCTCCGTGGTGAGTCGGGGGGGCCCAGCCCTGACCCTGCTTGAAGAGCGTCGGGGGCAGCAGCCCCCGCCCTCACCCGCAAGCTGGAGGACCGCGAGGCTGTCGGCGGCTACGATGACATGAGCGGAGGCCGCTTTGACTTTGACGATGGCGGGGCCTACTGCGGGGGCTGGGAGGCGGGCAAGGCCCACGGGCACGGGCTGTGCACCGGCCCCAAGGGCCAGGGCGAGTACTCGGGCTCCTGGAACTTTGGCTTTGAAGTGGCGGGTGTCTACACCTGGCCCAGCGGCAACACCTTCGAGGGCTACTGGAGCCAGGGCAAGCGGCACGGGCTGGGCATAGAGACCAAGGGCCGCTGGCTCTACAAGGGCGAGTGGACGCACGGCTTCAAGGGGCGCTACGGCATCCGGCAGAGCAGCAGCAGCGGCGCCAAGTACGAGGGCACCTGGAACAATGGCCTGCAGGACGGCTATGGCACCGAGACCTACGCGGACGGAGGTGAGCCCTGCCTGGGTCTGCAGAGTGGCGTGGGGGGCGGGATGCTGAGGGCACTGGGAGGGTGGGTGGGATCGGGGGATAAGTTACTGGCTCTGGCCAGGCGCTGCTGCCTGCTCTCAGCATCCATCTGTTTGTCAGTAAATGTGAGAGGATGGGCAGGAACGCTCAGTGCCCTGTACACACTCATTGAACACACATTCCACAAGACCTGGTGCCACTGCTGGTGTGTCAGGTAAACAGCTGGCGCGCAGACTCTACCTTGTGCTCTAGAATGGGGTCTAATTTCAGCCTTGCCGTGGCATTTATTTTCAAGCCCAGATCATGGAGGGTTCTGTTCATTCATCCAGTGTCTATCTGCCCACCCACCCATGCCCTTACCCACCTAGGCACCCACCCGCCCAATTGTTCAGTGTATATTTCTGCTACCTCCTACTTGCCAGGCATTGTAGAAGGGGTTAGACATAAAGGGAAATAAGGGGTAGCCCAGGACTTCAAAGATAGGGGTGCAGACAATTATACCCAAGTTTACACTGAGCGGTGGTAGACGAGCAGTTAGAGGTAAGGAGGGCTGGAATGATCGAGAACAGGGGACTCTGGGCTGGTCTGGATGGGAAATTGTGTTTGTGAGCGTGGGGGTGGGAGAGGGAAGAATGTGTGAAAGGGATCCGTAGCTTGAGAGTCCTCAGCGGGTTATGGAAATGGAGAGAAGTTTTCTGTGGCAAAACCGCCCTGGGAAGTGGCCGAGCAGATGACAGCACTAGTCCACGGGGTGTATCATTTTTCTAGGTCTCAGTCTCCTCGTCCCGAAAAGGCTGGCTCAGCTGAGGTCCAGAGAGCGCTTTAGAAAATCAGTATTTTCTCAAATGCAGGTAGTGGACAGGCAGCACCCACCAGCTAGAAATGCAAATCCAGGGCCTCACCTGGACCTTCCGAGTCCTCAGCTCTGAGAGTGGGCACGGAAATCAGTGCCGACATGCTTGTTGGGCATTTTTTAATACATGTTAAAGTTTAGATGTTTTGCTTTAAATCCAGGGTTTGCAAACTATCGAGAGAGCCTGCCGCCTATTCCTGTATGATCTGTGAGCTGAGAGTGGTTTTACGTTTTGAAATGTTCGAAAAAAATATAAAGAATACTATTTGCGACCTGACAATGGTGTGAAAGTCTCTACATAACATCCCTGACATTGCCTTGGCTTACGAAGCCCAACATATTTACTATCTGACTCTTTCCAGAAAGTTTGTCGGCTTTTGCTTTAAATGGCCATTCAAGCTCCTTCCAGCTCAGGAGAATCCCATGAAATCTCCATAAAGTGGAGGAGCTGACACAGTTAACTCAAAACTGAGGCTCATTGAAAACATAGATTTGACATCCGGAGGCATTTGTAGTATATTATAGTCGCCGCTGTTCTCTCCTCCTTATGAAGGGGGCAGGACATGGGGAGTCAGGAGTGGGCTGGGGGGTGCAGGAAGGGGCATGTACCAGCCGAGCGTGAAGGCTGGCTCAGCTGAGGTCCAGAGAGCGACTCCTGTCTGGATTGCCGGCTGGTGGGCATTTGGGGGAGGCTGGCTCTCAAATGCGTCTGGATGGTAATGGGGTCATGTCCCTGCGGTTCTGTGGGCTCATGGCAACCACACTGGCGGGAACTGGGCAGTGCTGAGGACAAATTCTGGCTGCACACTTTCTAATTCGCTGACCTTGAGCCATTTGCTGAACCTCTACAGTTCAGTGCAATTCAATCACCAGAGGTTTATGCCGGACACTGTGCTTAGCACTGCGATGAGCAGAGAGCCAGCCTCAGTTTCTCCAACTATAACATGTAGCTGATCCTGGAATGCTTCCGAGGCGTCAGCTCCCGGTATACCAGGTCCGTGGTACATCTGTGCCAAGAGTTCCTTTCCTCCGTTCCCCACCCAGCTAAGGGGGGGGGTGTATGAGTGGGGGGGATTGGATGGGATTCACAGGCACACACCTTTCTGGGAAACTGGACTGATCCCCCAGTATATCTAAAGGGGGGAACCATTCATTCACACAGCCAATATGACAGAGCGCCTATTACATGTCAGCACATCCCACAGAGAGTTCCAGGGCCGGAGCAGTCAGCAAGCAAAGTCCTCAGGGAGCTCTCTGTCCAGTGAGGAAGATAGAAATAAACCAAAAAACAAGCATATACGCTATCTCCAGAAGTTTCTAGTGTTACCAAAAAAAGAGCAGAGCAGGAAGAGAGGGATGTTTTGGATAGAGTGATCTGAAAAGCAGGATGGGGAGGACTAGCAAGGGGATAAAGAGGAATTGTGACTGCAAAGACTGAGCGGCAGAGCTGGGCTTGTAGGTTTGAGGAACAGCAAGAAAGCCAGGGAGACTGGAACAGAGTGAGCGAGGGGAACAGGCAGGGTTGACAGGGAATTATGGGCATGGGCCAGATCACACAGGATTTGTAGGACTGTGGGGTTTTCCCCAGGTGTGCCCAGGAACTTTGCAGGCCAGGTAAACAGAAGACCTGCACCTCTGGTTTGTCAGAGCCCAGATTCTGCTCCCAAATGAGAAGGCCCCACATCCAGGGGCCCTAGAAACTTCACAGATCCTCTCTTCCAAGCCACTCAAGAGGTGCCACTCTCCAAAATTAGATGTGGCCACTGCTTCGGAAAATGTCTTTAATCAACCTGTCATCAGTTCCCTGAGGGTTCGTTAAGGACCTACCCTTTGCCCCCTCCTGGGTAGCACTGAGGGGAACGTGGGCAAATAAGAATGTGTGCTTAGGAAGAGTTGGGAGTTCGGCAGCCCTGAGTTTTTCCCCTGGCCCTTCTGTACTTTTTAATGTCTTGGAGTCTTAGTTTCTCGTCCTTAAAATGGATTTACATGAACCTCTACTAAGATATTTCATGGGATAAATGGGTAGGCAATAAATGGCTGTTGCTATTATCATTAACTATCATTAGTTCACTGGCTGAAGATTTATTGTGTGGTTATTATGAAGCCAATACCACATAGACTGTGCATTGTGGGGAGTGTGACATGAGCAGGCCCCTGCCTGTGACAGAACTTGCATTAGTGTGCTGCTGGGTGCTAGGCAGATGGGTACAGGGCCTTAAGGGAGCAGGAAGCCTGCAGCTAACCCCACTCTCGCATTCAGGCATTCGGGGAAGCTTCCTGGAATAAGTGGCAAACAGACCCTGGAGCAGGGAGTGAGCCAGGTGACAGCATGGAGGTGAGCGCTGCGGGTGGAGAGAACAGAGTGCGCAGAAGCCAGAGGTCTGAGGCCTGCAGCTTCTGCCCAGGTTGGAGAACTCTTGGGCAAATGCCCCTTTTCCTACCCTCCCTCCCCGCTTTGGCTGCAAGGTAATTGCTGTGGAAAAAGGCCTCCCAAACTGGAGGTCTGGCAAAATCAATCTGGTAGCTTCTGATCTGCACCTTTTAAATGAAAGCATGGCATGGAATGGAGTCGAGAAGTATCAGTGTGTTTCACAGAGAATCGGATAAAGCTCTGTGTATACTTGTAAGTGGATACACGTGCCTGAATACACGTGGGGGTGGTGTAGAAGGCAGTTCTTACTGTCGGTCATGGTCAAAGTTTGAGGATCCCTGCTCTAAAATGACTGGACCTGGCCTGCTCATGGAAGCCCCGTCACGCCTGCCTCCCCAGACCTCTCCCTCCTCCACACCTGTCATTGGGGCTGAAAGTCAAACTCTCCGGTTCTCTTGTGGGAGTGGAAGTGGTGAAGGCAAAGGCGCTCCATCCTCCCAAACCCTAGTAAGTCTCTAGGCAGCCCCCTCTCCCTGCCACCCCCAGAGTCCTCATTCCTCCCCTAGCCATATATAGAAAAACTAAAAATAGCTGCTGACTTAAAGCTCTGAAGCCAGCACGCATCCACTCGAGCCCTCAAGTAGTCACTCTCTGGGTGGATGCTGGGTGGTCCCGACCCCAGAGACCCACAGATGCCAGCACTATGTGGGCATCAGTGACCTTTGCTCCTGGAGGTCGGTGACCTGGGGCCTGCGCCATGGCTCAGAAACCCAGGAACACCCTGAAACTTCAGGCAACATGTGTGCATGAGTGCTCGGATTATCTGTGTTTTCTTTTTTTTTTTTTAAGTTTTATTTATTTATGCATACAAGAACTGGGGTACACGCCAGAGGTGTGGGGGGTGAGAGGATTCACCAGAGACAGAGTGCAGAGCAGAACAGGCAGACTGACTGACATACACTGCTGAGCAGGGAGTGAGACAGGAGCAGAGGGGAGACAGGAAAGGTCTGCTGCGCCATGTGGGTAGCTCCCTGGCCGGGGATCGAACTCATGCTGCAGTGGCTGCGGACAGCTTCATAGGTTGCATCTTAACCCCTTGCGCCACCAGGGAGGCCTATCTGTGTTTTCTAGAAAGAGAAAGCAATCTGCTGCTTGAATAAATTCGAGAACCATTTGTGTACTGGTGTAATCCCTTCAAACTGTGCTGGGGAAAAAACCAGTCTTTTTTTCATGAAGCTAATATTAATAGTTAACATCACTGGAGCACTTACTATGTGCCACGAATTGTTCTTAGCATTCAATTTATGTTGCGTAATTTAAACCTTCGTGACAACCTCATGGGGAAGTGTTGTTTTGACCCTACTTTACAGATGATGAAACTGAGACAGGTACTTTAAGTCTTACTCATGGTCCTCTAGTGAGTAAAAGGCAGAGAAAGAATTTGCTTATAATAATTTAATTTTTCATAGAATAAATAAGTATTTTAGCAAATAACAAACAACCCTCAAAATAGTCAGCACTGGCTATGTAATTTGTGGGATACTGTGCAAAATGAATGTGGGGCCCCATCTTCAAAATCATTAAGAATTTAAGATGGAGGTAGCAGGATGTTAAACCAAATGCCAGGCCCTTTTAAACACTAGACCTGTGGGACTGCACACGTTGGGTGTCCATGAAGTTGAACTTGACAGCAGCCATAATTGTTTTTCTCAATTACTGAATTTGGCCCAGGCTCTGCTATGGCCCCTGCATGTATCA